TGCATAACGACAGGGGTTTTCTTCCATTACAACCATGTCCAGTTCCACTTTTCATGTTTGATTCAATGGTTTTTAAGTTGTTCGTTCTATCTAACATTCTACATTTTTCATATTTGATAAAATCTGTTGCATGAAGCACACGTATATTGTAAGATTTTAAACTCCACACCGTGCACGGTTTCATAGCAGCATACGGTAGAAGACATCAATCGGAAGCTCGCTGCGGCCTGCGAAAACACACAATGATGATGTCGTTGGTTCCCAACTTGTTACATACAATATTCCTATTCATGCAACCACTGCGATCGGGAACCACTGACTGACACGATAGACTTGAATTCAAGGCTGTGTGATAAATGCGCTCAGCGCAGAGATGCACAGCATGGCGCAGTGCAAGCAGCAAGCACAAATCGTCTCAAATACCCCCACACGAGGCACGTGTTCGGCCAGTTCACTGCACCGTGCAGTACTTGGTACACGTAGCGCTGCTGGATCTCCAGTCATTTTAACAATCATGCAGACGAAGGCAGCCATGTTTTTAAGGCCACTACAGGGAAAGAGCTGTACACATGCATGCTGTGCGCAACCATCATTGAACTGGAATTCACAGAGGCGAAAATCAATGCATTCTCTTTTGCGTTTTCTTTTCTGGCATTTTCTTTCGAGCCAGAATGGAAAAAAAGGAAAAACAGAATTTCAGAGGTCTGATTAAAAAAAAAAGAAAATAAGGATAGAACTAGAAAAGTGGCATCTCTGTAATATTCTGTACACAAAATAGTATATCCAACATTCATTGGGGTGGGACATTAGACAACATACCATTTGATCCTCTGTGCCATCACATCCAGGTGGGTATCCATCACTTTACAAACTGTACAAATAGGTTCTCAGTTGGTGAGTTGTTAAAGGAAGCATGTAACTTAAGAAGCATTTTAGTTTCAGTTTTCCACTTTTCAAGGAATTTTACAATGGGTATATTTATCAATATGTTGCATTCAATCCACAATGCACTTGGATATATTTCTACGTTTCTAAAGGTGGCTTATAGTTATCGGAGTCAATGGAAATTCTGGGAAGCAACGACCAACCACACAAATTTTCAGTGAAATGAAACGTCAGTATCTCTTCACTCGTGGCTCTGGGGATTGTTTTTAAAGGAACACTTATAATAATATTAAGAGTAATAATTTATTCATTTATAAAGCACAAATTTCATATGGATATGTTTAAATGCACTGTACAATGAAGACATTAAGCATGGAACAATGAATACATTTAAACATGGTTGAGCCGATGGCATACAAGGGCACCTCAGGCAGCCGCCATACGACCCACATTCACCAACATCAGTAAAGTGGAGACAGTAAGAAGCAGTTACAGTTTTAGAGGTGGGAGGAAAACCCCAGAGGAATAGTCTGGGTAAAACCCATGGAGTCAGGTAGGGACTGAAAACCCAATCCACATGTGGACTGGGCCGGGATTCGAACTCGGGACCACAGAGGTGGAAGGCAAGGAAAGAACTACCCTGCCAACCTGACTCCCCACTTCACAGTCTGAGAAACATTCTGTAACTGTTTCAATTGTACTATGGACTGTGACTCAACAAAGTTGTAAAAAAAAAAAACTGTCATGAGTGATTGCTTCACTCAGCCCTCAGAAAACTGAGGGGTTATGGGGAAAATTACCACTTAGCGTAACTCAGCAATCATCTTAAAATCTTGATGAAAGTTTACTGGAGTCTCTGTTAGGTTTTCTGTTTCATCCAGGCTCTAAACCACTGTTGAGTTTGTTTTGCTTCCAATTACAAAACCTTTGGAGCAGAATGGAATTTTGCCAAGAACTGACAGGATTTGTTGTCACAACATAATTTGCAAACTTGGGAGGGCGCGGTGTGGCCAGGATTACCTCTGATAAATTTCCCTGATTGGCACATTGATTGTTCCTTAGGATCAGTTGAAACTATGCAAAGCACTTGAAAGGGCAAGGATGACGTCTGTCAAAGCACACTGTGACTATATTGAGCGATGTTAACTATTAAACATGTGACTTTTATGTCTTAGAAATAAATCTCTGTTTTGTCCTTTGATTGAGTAAGGGGTTTGTGTTTGCCTTCAGGTTGGGCCAGTGTGCCTCAGAGGACTTTTCCATTTGGTTGGTGCTGTTCTGTTTATTTCTGTTCTGGAAAGCATACAAAATCCCATCATCTCCTTTGAATAACAAACAGCCGGAATTATTCACCATGCCAAACATTATCACAAAAAAGTGAACCAACTCATCTAACCATTTTCCTGGCTGCAAAGATGAAGACCACTCCTGCCATTCACATGTACTTGAGCTGTACTGCAAGTCAGGCTTGACTGCTCTCAGTGGATACCCCCATTAAGGACATGTACAAGGTCAATCTGCAGCTTAAAACCTCAAGCCCACTCCAAACAAAATGAACACGTAGTTGGCCTGCCAGCCGCCCTATCTTCCATTGTTGGTTTGACAGCAGAGGCAAAGCAAGTGGCACGGGAGTCATCAATAACATCCAAAGTCACAGCATACATGTACATTGTTTGCAAAAGTCAAGGCCAATGATGACAGTTTCTGCATGTAGATAAGAAAATGAAAATCACGCATTCCTTTCACAGACTGTTCTTTCCCCCAAGTCTAATTCACTTAACTCAAGTACAAAGAACGGAAGACTGTCAAGTTTGTGACGTGGGAATACCCAGCGCTCAATGGAAACCATATTGGACATAAGGCACAATGAACACTATTTCATTTACATGCAGATTTGAACTTTTGTAGTATAAATTGTCTTTGAAAAAAAAATTTGCCCTTTCTGTTACTGCTGAATTTGTAGGACTGTTATTTTCAGTTAGTAATATATTCTTAACTGTCAACAGCCATGAAAGACCATTTAAACATGGATTAAGAGTTTCCAAGCTGTACTCCGATGCATCAAATTGAATAAACACACTCATGATGACGTACTTGAAAACAAACATGCTGACATTTAAAAACAAATTCAAATACACATGGATAATGAAAACACCAACCATATGTCTGTATTTGCACTGATTCTACAGACTGAATTAAACAAGAAATAATTTCAATTCAATATGGCCAGTATTCTAGTGCTTGTGATTATGTGGAGACAATTTCCTTCTAAAGTTTGATTATTCTGTAATTCTTGAAGGCACAGCAAACGCAGGCAATCCTTACTGTTCTCCGCAATGCAAGTTTGCTAGTCCCATTGGACGAATAGAGGGACGGTGATGGAGTGAAATTTGATTTAAATTCAAGATCAATGGTGATTTGTTTTTGGTAGAAAGTGCCCTGCCCTCTTCATTTGTTCATTACCAGTCAATAGGGAAAAAAGATGGAAGCATATCAATGTCTTATAGCTAAAGTAAGGAGCCATTTCTTGACTGCAGGTCCATTGCATCATTAAAAGCCTTTCTACAGCTGCCAGCAAGATGCATGCATTTTTTTATATATATATATAACCCAAATATTGGCTGGTTAGGGGGGTGCTTACTCGTGCTGGCAAGCATACTGTGCTGTGGTTTTAATGAGCATGACAGGCTTTAGGAGTGGGACGATATACCTTTTATGAACAATCTTGTCAAATTTAATCCTAAGACCACTGGCTTACTTGTTGCTTTGTGAAAAACACTAAGTACTGTACGTCAACCTGGTTTTTCCAATCTATGGTAGCTTCGCCAGAAACATGACAATTTTTTGGCTAACTTTAGTTGGGGATCATACTTGTGTGTACACTGGTGGGGAGGGCTTGTGTGTGCTTTTCAAAACTTGTGGAAAATAGGCATCATCGTTGTCTTGCATATTCTTTCAAAAGAGGAGAGGAGTCAGAGATAAAGAATGTTTTGAATGCTTTTACAAATGACAAAAAAAAACCACTCAGAAAACCTACGAGCAGTTCTGTATGTATATAAAACATGGTTGGTCAGGCATTTTTTTAAAATTCCTGATTTCTTCCCATTTGAATCCATGAAACCTTACAAAGAAACTAAGTTGACAATCATCGTTTGATGAAAAGCAGAGAGTAAGTTATGAGAAAGGATATTCTAACACAAAAACTTCCTGTTCACCAGTGTACAATGCAATGTTCAGAGCATATTAATTGAATATTTGTTTACAGGTGGTATTCCATGATACAGCTGAGCAAAGGTGGGTTAGTATTTTTGGTACTTGACAATGTAAGAAACAAAGAGATGGGTGCAAGTGTTAAGATGCTTTGGAGAGAATGTCAAGCAGTGACAAGACAAAACATTTTACATGTGTGGCAATCCCAAAGCATGACAGGTTGTCTGATGCAGGCTACATGTACATGTACCTCTTTTGTGCAATGGGGGAACACTTTCGAGATTCTCCTTTGAGCAAATCACAGGTGTTGAAAGGTGACAAACATGACATTTCTGGTGCAAGGTTTAATTTGCAGAGTAAATGATCATCTTCAGAAAACAGATTCTATAATGCTCATGAGTGGGGAGACCATGTTCCAAGAATGGAGCAGACATTCAAAGACAAGCAGTCTCGTGCCATCACTGCTGGTTAGTTCCTTAGCACCACAGATAATAGCTTGACAGAACAAGTGGGAGACTATTGAACAAAGTGGTGTTTACATGTAAGTGCAGTAAATACAAGGTAGTCAGTTAAAGTGAATGATGCATGTTAGTGAGAGGATGAGAGAACGAGAAAGAAGGGGGGACACTGCGTTCTCAATATGGTAAAACAAGTTGGTATCTTTTTGGTTTCGGTTTTCATACCCCTATCCTGCTCTGAACTTGTGGTTGTTGTGATGGTAGTAGCAGTGGCTGTGGTGTCGCCAGCGGTAACCGGCGGTGTTGTCATGGCTACCAGGCCCGGCGCGGCGCTTTTCTCGACCGAGGTTGCGCTGCCGGCCCCCGTGCAGATCGGGGCACAGGCCGTTTGCGTGGTGGCGGCGGCCATCATGCCCGTCACGTCCAGCTGCTGCGCAGCCTCCTTACCCTTGGCGATGTCGTGGTGGGTGGCCACCACGGGCGTCTTCTTGACAAATGAGAGGAAAAGGTGACGGCACAGGTCCTCCGGCATGTCCACATCCAGATACGTCTCCATGAACAGCTTGAAGCCTTCATAGTTGATTGGCTGTAAGGAAATTGAGAAAAGGTGAGCATTTGTCTAGACACAAAAGCAAAGACAAATGTAAAATTGCTGCATCGCATCAAATAATTATGCTGCAAATTCACGACAGTTGAACAAATTCAAACTCATGAGTGTTTCATGTTAAACGTATTTTGCATTTGTGTTTGCCCATGGTATGCACCAGCTTTAACATGTACTTGCATATGCAATGTGGTACAAGAACTACATGGGTTCCCTAATGAATTGTATGTAAAACACAGCTAGTGGGTGCCTGTACAAGAAATCCAATCCCTTAATTCAAAGAATAATGAAAAATGCGTGTGTGAAAAATGCAAATTGCCACTGGCAAATTTTTCAACCAAAATGCTCAGTAATACTTTTCAACATGCATGTGACATCTGTTCCAGTACTGCCCGTGGCCTTTTTATTTCAAAAATGTCTTTGTCATAGAATTTACTGAATTTGAAAGTGGTTCCTGACAACCATGGTCCTGGGCACGGATACCAAGTTCTGGTGCATAGCCTTTACCTTACCGGTACCAGTGTCAAATGAAGTTTGGAGAAATTGGAAAGCTACAGGGAATATTCATGGAATTAGCTAGGGAAAGGTGGGAAAACCGTGCCTATGATTGTTCAAAGGGAGACGGTTTGAGGTATTGATGATAAGACGTGTGGATCAAAGGCTTTGAGTTATAATAAGTTATGAATGGTTTTGATTTCCTAGACCAATTTTGATTGCTGTTTATTCAAGCATGTTAAAGATACTCTGGCACATGTGGAAAGAGTTCACACAAATTTCAGTCCAATGAGAATTCAGAGAAAATCATGTGATGCAGCCCGATGAGCCCATCCCGAGGATGGTGAAAATGAGCAAAGAGCAGGCCACAACAGCTACCTCTACAAATCTTGTGTGCAGGGATGCCGGATGAAGAACGGCTGCATTTGTACGTGTACGTACATGTAAAGGGCTTACGATCTCCATTCTGTGCTAACCACGCAAGCAGAAAAATTCTGCGCTAACCCTTTAAGCACAGAATCCTTAATTACGGGATGTATGCATGCGCACAAGCCAAAATTTCTCGCTAACCTGTGAAATACGTTTGGCGTAAGCGCAGAATTTTCTGCGATGGTGTGTGTCGTTTTTTCGCTTGCGGTAAGCAGCGCCGTGAAATTGGGCCCAGATCTGTGGGTGTAGTGCTCCTTACTTAAGATGGGTGGGTGGCATTACCATTTTCAGTCCCTATCCCGGATCTAACAATCTACATGTGTATATAATCTACAAATGGAGCATTGTCAGAACATCAGCGATTTCATTCAAAACAAGAAATAGGCCTACTTAGTTTACATTTGCAAATGAAGGAAGTATCCCTTATCTGTAAGCAAAATTATTTTTATCATGAGTGAGGCATTACTTTTAATAGATCCAAACAGATGGCGTGAATGCAGCAAGGTAATGTCAATGTTTTGAATGCCAAGTTATTTCAGGATCAGGAACTGCAAGTACTTGGATGTCATTAGTCCTCTTATTTTAGTTTCACTTCTTGCTCATCCTCAACCTCCTTCCCACAAAACCCCCCATTTGGTGTTGGAAAACCACTCATCTCCCATAGGCAGTCTACACAGAAAGTGCACTCAAGGAAGTATCAAAACAGATCAATAATACTCTGTTACTCCTCCCCTAACACACAGACAAAAAAGAACAAAACTAGGAAAAAAGACACATTTAAACCATTTTGATGGAAATGAAATCAAACCCTGTTATTGCCAGAGTGTTGTAAATGTGATAACAGATGGGTTGTTGAAACATACTGAAACTTGTAAAAACCATACCTGCTTCATTTCAAATTGTTATTCCTGTTTATGTACATGTATATACATGTATATGTATATCCTGTAACCTTAGCAACTGTTTTAATCTTTGTTCATTGTTTTCATCTTTGATCTAGTTTTATATGTACACATCTATGTATTGTCTTAGTGACCCAGGTTTGAATGGTACCATCTTGATGTTCCACTTAATTTTTCATTTTTTAAATTTGTCATTGAGGTAGGGCATTAAAACAAAGTGCAACAGCCCAAGAAGGAAGCCTGATCCAAGGTTGGAGGAAGAAAAGTATTGAATGCCTACAAATACACTGACAAGCCACTGCAGCATGGATGACCACAATAGGTTGCCAACAAGAGTTGGCAATGTGTTGGCCAAATTTCCAAACGCGTATTGCTGGTCGAGCCCTCTGGACATGTCAACCCATTTAAACATGCATTGCGTAGAGTGGCCACTGCGCTGAAACTCTTGGCAGCGCACTATTGGGAAACGCCCATATTGGTCACAGTGGCCAATGATGACCAGGCGATGTCATCATTAGCCCATATTTCAGGTGTTTTTGCTTTAAAAACTAAACGGAAGGAAACTATTGGCTATTTTTGTTCCATTTCAACCAAATGAAAGAAAATGTTTTATCCGGGAAAGATATGTCTAGTTTTGCTGGGGAAGGGACTAGGACTGTCAGTTCATAGCAATTTGTAAACGATACTTAGGATGAAATACGGATGAATTGAGGTTGTGGCTAAGGCTAGCAAGAAAACCCTGGTACATGTACATGTAGCATCAATGTACTGCAATCTCTTCCAGTAGAATACTACCCTTACCTGCTCTGGATTGTACTTGGAGAGGACACCGTTGCCATGGAATTCTTCCAGCACATCCTTGAGAGTCTTGCGGGAATCTGCAATCAAAATGGAAGAGGGAAGACTATTAGACAGAATCCAAACAAGCAATGTTCAATTCAATCCCTCAAAGTTTGGAATGATTTATATCAGAAACAGTCAGGGTTGCGGTGAAGTCCCTGTCTGAGCCCCTGGAAACAGAAAAGATAAACTGCATCTGACATCCACGAGAAACCAACCATGGAAAAAGCTGGCAAATGGCTGTACTTTACTTCATCCTGGACTCGTGCATATATTGGTCTCATTGGATGTAGTCTCATATCCACGCTTGGCAAGTTTAATAAATCAAAGGCACATGTGTTAACAATGTACGCTGGTGTCTAGGACAAAAGTAAATTCTGGAAATGAGTCTAATGTCCTAGTCTTGACTCACACAACTTTTTTTGGCGGTTTCTGCCCGGCCAAGGGCAAGGACTTTCCTGCAAGACTACAGACAATACACATTGGGAAGTAGTTGGGACAAGGTCCAAGCCATTACTAGTGACCACATCCCAGTGGAATTTTGCTTCACAACTTTAATTTTAATTGTCCGCGTCCAGAGAATAAATCTGTACACAAAAATGTTTGAATTTTGGCCAGACATGAAGAAACAATAGTTGAGCTAAAATTAGAAAGTAAAGAAACTGAACTTCAGAATATGCTCAGTGAAAATTTATTTTGTTTCAAAGCCTTAGATGACCTTCTGTGCAGTAAAAACAAACAAACACAAACAAAAACAGTGCATTATACATGTACAATAATATCAGATATTTAACGGGGACTGAAAATGTACTGAGCACTATTTTATTAGGATACTTGAAATAATGGCCCATTATCTAGACCATTATCTAGAACTTTAAACAATCATTAAAAAAATCATAAAGTCAACAAAGACCCACAGCACAGCTTGTCTAAAATACTAATTAACCCTAACCCCCTAGGGTGTATGTAAAATCGTATTGAAATTGGAGGATTTGAGACTGTTAGGGTTCAACTATGCAGAGACACTAAACATTGAAAAGTATTAAACAGAAGGTCAAAAGCCAGTGCACTATTCTCAGGATTCTCTAACTTTTAAGTGTCTTCTCCGATTCTCTTACAGCAGTTTTTAGAACAGAGATTCTCTGAAATCTTGTCTGAACTAAAGAAGCTATGAAAGTACTAATTACATGAACATCCATGACTGGGATACTTCAATCAAAGATCCACACGAGAACTGCCAAACTTGCACCAAATGTCAGAGTAAATGACTACTTGGCTACAGCACTTGACAGCACTTGGACAGAAATGACAACACGTTGAGAACTTTCACACAGGCAGGTTGAATCTTACACGCACTTCCTACCCATATGGTGCACTTGTACTATACACCAAACCACTGGAAATTTTTGCTGTGAAGACCAATCAGTCTGGCAAGTTTTGTCCAGAGTCTCGACTACGAGTTACATAATTGTAACAAAATACACGTTTGTATTTTTCATGATCACAAATGTTGAGTTTGCCTTTACTCTTAGTACACATTTATCACTCTGTAAACTAAACATTCAAACATACAAACACATACAGTACTTACAGTGTTTTGAATACATGTGAATATAGTCCAAAGGAAACGCTATGCGATTCAGATTTGTCATACTGTACAAGATCAGTGAAGCTACGGATGTCAAATCTCTGACTATCTTGTGCACGTAGCGTGTCAGTGTGAATACAAAGCATGCCGTGTAACTCAGTCTTTGTGACCACGCATAACTGGATGCGTCCTGAATGTGCCCCACTACATGTACGTCACACAATCAGACAAAGCCCTAAACCGATATTTCCTTTTTTACTTCCTGGTGATAAGAGGAAATTGGAATTATATACATATGAGAAGGACTGGCCAGCCAAGTCAAGAAAAAAAGTTGGTCCACCTTTTACGTCTGCAAGTGCAGACTGACAGAACGCACAAACCTTCGTGTACATGAAGTCATTTGTGTATTGTGCGTAGTTCCAACACTTCCTAGTCGCAGTGTGATCTGTTGGTTGATTTCACAAGGAATTACTCAGCCATGGGCACACACGATTGGCCAACTGGACTGGTACTCTTTAACTTTGGGTGAATGGTAGTCAGGGGTGATCTCTGGATTGTTTTTCTTGGGGGGGGTGTTGCATGTACTAAATGGGCCATTAAGTGTAGAGTTGACTTGCAAGGTTATTGTAACTTCAAGGCAAGCTGCATTATATTAGCACTGGCTTTTGATAAAACAAAAACACCCATCCCGCTCAAATAATCCATTTGTTATTTTACGGCATGGTTGCCAATTTGCAGTTATCATGTCAATGTTACAACTAGAACAGCAAAGCTGCCATGGCTTGCTGCTTGCAATGAATTTGAATTTCTTCTTGCAATAACAGGCAAGAGATATCCATGTTATATAAATATGGTTACTAAATCAAACAAGTAAATACCAACAAAGTATTATCAATTTTTTTTATCGACCTTAGCAATTCAATTCATTGTACTCTAGGAGAAAAAACCAAGTCCGTGCTGTGTACAGACTGTGCATTGAAAGGCGCATGTCATTTCAAAGTAAATCAACAAAGACCACCACCAAGGGAGATACAGGTACAAAGGCTTCACAGTTCTTTACAGGAGAGAGGAATGCCTATAGAAAGTGGGTCCAGCTAGTACAGTCAGACTAGACCTGGATGATTATATAAGCAGTGCATTTTGAGTTTGACGGATGGTGCATAATTAAAATTCCTCTTAATTAACGGGTAAATGTACAGTTCTGCACTTTATATCCCACCCCATCATCCTATCCATTTTCTAATCCACCCCCTCCAGATCATCCTATCCATTTTTTACTTTCCCCCTCCCCATCATCCCATCCATTTCCTACTCTTCCCCCTCCCCA